AGGTGACAAGAGGCGGAGGTGGGCGGAGGGGACTCGGCTTTCCCCATCCGGTTAGGGGGAACGGCACTGCCGCCCCCCTTCTGTGTGTCAGTTTCTGTCCTTGGCGCTGTGCCTCAGTTTCTTCAGCTGTAACATGGGATCATAGTCCCTTCCGGGAGGGCTCTGGTGAGCATTGAATGAGATGTGTGAACTGAAGCCCGTTCGTTGAATCTCAGTGAATCAAATTCCTCTCTGTCTCCTTGCCCCAGTCAGATATCCAAAAAGGGAAAACATGAAGGAAATACTAAACAGCAGAGTCCCATGCACCAGGAGCATTTTCCTACAAGGCCAGGAGGGTGTTTAGGTTGCAATAAAACTTAATATTTGTTTCTAATTTTGACACATTAGGCATCAAGCGCTGGTGACGCAGAATCATTACTGTTTCTATAGAATTACCCACCTCCCCTCTCCCGGTTCACTGGGTCCGAAATTCACCACCCTCTGCCACTGTCGCTTGGTTTCTGCTTCATCTTTCCCTGCCCTGTTCATGGGGTCCCAGTCTGGAACATTCTTTTTCCTCTCCACTCCCCCCCCCCCCCCCCCCCCCCCCCCAGGATCTCAGTCCCCAAAGCCCTACTCCTACACCTTTGGGCAGGGAAACGTTATCCAGACCCTTGCCCTGCCTGCCTACTCATGGAATAGGAAGATACTAACAGTTCATGTTTATGAGATGCTTGCCATTCGGTTTTTCAGTATGAATTTTTTTCAAGTCTATTTATTTATTTTGAGAGAACGTGCGCCCACAGGTGCACGCACCCTTGAGCCGGGGGTGGTCAGAGAGAGAGGGAGAGAAAGAGAATCCCAAGCAGGCTCTGCACTGTCAGCACAGAGCCTGATGCGGGGCTCGAACTCATGAACCATGATATCGTGACCTGAGCCAAAGTCGGATGCTTAACCAACTGAATCACCCAGGTGCCCCTTCAGTAACAGGTCATTTTTTCCTGCAGGAAAAGTAGATCAGGGTAAGGGAATTGGGAGTACCATAGTGGTAGGAGTGGTGCTCTTTGAAATAGGGGGGCCGGGCAGACCTCATTAGGAAGGTGACATTTAGACAAACACTTGAAGGAGGTGAGGGAGCTAGAGTAGCAGATATCTGGGGGAAGACCATTCCAGAGACAGCAGTCAGTGCAAAGGTCCCAAAGCAGGAGTGTGCCCTGTATCCCTGAATAAGGAGGCTGCTATGGCTTGAGTTGATAAACGAGGAGATTGACAGGAGAGGAGGTGACAGGTAGGGCTTTTTTGGTTGCAAGGAACGTGCCTTCCAGTCTGAGCAGAACGAGGGGCCACTGCAGACTTCCGGCTAGCTAGAGGATTAATACCATCCGACTTACTTTTTAAAAAGACCTTTATTGGGGCGCCTGGGTGGCGCAGTCGGTTAAGCGTCTGGCTTCAGCCAGGTCACGATCTCGCGGTCCGTGAGTTCGAGCCCCGCGTCGGGCTCTGGGCTGATGGCTCGGAGCCTGGAGCCTGTTTCCGATTCTGTGTCTCCCTCTCTCTCTGCCCCTCCCCCGTTCATGCTCTGTCTCTCTCTGTCCCAAAAATAAATAAAAAAACGTAAAAAGATCTTTATTGAAATATCATCCTCATGTCATGCCATTTGCCCACAAAAAGTGGCCCATTTGCCCAAATGCAGAAAGTTTGCATTTGGTTTTTAATATATTCACAGTTTTGCAGCCATCACCACAATCAATTTTAGAACGTTCTCCAAAGAAATCCCTGCTCTTTAGCCATCAACCTCCAATCTCCACCCCCACCTCAGCCCTAGGCAGCCAGTTACAGATTTGTCTCTATAGATTTGCCTTTTCTGAACATTGATGTGTGTGTGTATATATACATACATATATATACATGTATATATATTATATATAGTTTTACTTTTAAATGTAACTTATTTTTATTTATTTTATTTTTTAAGGTTTATTTGTTTAATCTCTAACCCTAACCCTAAATTTAATCTCTACATCCAATGTGGGGCTCAAACCCATGACCCCAAGATCAAGAATCACATGCTCTGCTGACTGAGCATGTCACAGTTTTGCAGCCATCACCACAATCAGTTTTAGAATGTTCTCCAAAGAAATTCCTGCTCCTTAGCCATCAACCTCCAATCTCCACCCCCACCTCAGCTGTAGGCAGCCAGTTACAACTCCTGACTAAGCCGGGCACCCCTGGACATTTCATATAAATGGAATCACACAGTATGTGGTCCTTTGTGTGACTTTATTCACTTAGCATAATAAAGATTCATCTGCATTGTAGCATGTATCAGTGCTTCATTGCTTTTTTAGGGCCAAATAATATTCCATTGTATGGTCATATCAATTATCTCTACCCATTCATTTGTCGACGGACATTTAGGAGACATATTTTTTAATTTTTTAAATTTTTTCATATTTTTTAAAGTTTATTTACTTATCTTGCGGGGGAGGGGCAGAGATGGAGAGAGAGAAAATCCCAAGCAGGCTCTGAGCTGCCAGCGTGGAGCCTGACTTGGGGCCTGATCCCACAAACCATGAGACCTCGAACTGAGC